AATAATTTTTACTCCTTGAAAATTTTTTTTTTTTTTTTTTTTTTCTTTTTTTTTTTGGTACCGGGGATTGAACTCAGGTCCTTGTGCTTGCGAGGTAGGCAGTGGAACCACTGAGCTAAATCCCCGGTTAAAATATATATATATATTTAAAACTATTGGCCTAAAATAACTCTATACAGTTTTACCTTTTTCATCTGTACTTACAATGTTTCTTATAATGGTTAAGGGCTGTGTACCAGACAACTGAGTTCAAAGATTTGTACACATATCCAAATATTCTCATTGCATTTCATGAAAATAGTCTTAAAGAAAGATGAGAGTTTTTCTCTGTCAGTGGTGAGGAGGTTATTTGGGTGTATGTGACATGACATGTGACATGTGGTAAAAAATGTCCTCCATAGGGCAGGTAATGGCCTAAAAGAATGATTGTTTCAAATCTGTTTTTTTGGGTCGGGGATTTAGCTCAGTGGTTCTGCTGCCTGCCTCGGAAGTGCAAGGATCCAAATTAGATCCCCAGTACCAAAAAAACAAAAAAACCCAAAAAAAAATCAAATCTGTTTTTTTGTTTGTTTGGTTTAAAGCAGCCAAACCTTGATTTTACATGAAGTCTTGAGAGGACTCAGTGAAAGAGAAAAGCAGAGCCACCTGGTTAGAGAGGGCTGCATGGTTCTCTCAGGGCACTCAGTCCACCCCCTTTCCTTGCTGATCCTGAGGGTTCTGGAGGACACAGGCATTTATACAGCCCTGCTGCTGGGGGCAGACCTGCTGTGTTGCTCTCCCTGCAGTCTGTGATACTCTTCTCTCCCCCTTTACCAAGCGAACGCCCCAGCTTCCAGCTGATGGGTCCCTTCAGGTTGCTTCTTTCTTTTCTTCCCAGGCATGTGAAATCTCCCTGAAATAAGCTCTGCGGCACTCTGTGCCTCCTCTCCTGAGGAGCTATCAAGGCCATATTTTGTACTTCTTTGTGTGATTATTTGATTAATATTTGCCTCTTCCAACTGTAAACTCTATGAAGGCAGGGCATGCTGATCTTTCTCAGCAGTACACCTACCTCAAACATAATACTGCTCAGTAAACATTTGTTAAATGAATGCATACACATTTTACGCTATTAAGGAAAAAATAGTCAAAAAATATTTTAGCCAGCTGTGGTGGCACACCCTTGTAATCTCAGCACTGGGGAGGCTAAAACAGGAGGACTGCTGTGAGTTCAAGGCCACGCTATCTTGAAAAAATATTAATAATAATATTCATTATATATTTAATATTTATATTTATTATTATTATACTGATGCCAATAATACTCAGCTTCGTAACCAAATAGACTCCAAAGAAGAATTTGATAGCTTCTTCTCTGTATGTTAGAGACTTACTTTACCTTTCTGTATTAGTCTTTGAAAACACTGCATCAGCCTTAAAAAACACAGGCAAAGGGGCTGGGGATTTAGCTCAGTGGTTCTGCTGCCTACCTAGCAAGCGCAAGGACCCGAGTTGGATCCCCGGTACCAAAAAAACAAAACAAAACAAACAAACAAAAAAACACAGGCAAAGGCGATACACTTTCTGTCCCTATATAAAGTCAGATTATTAATAAGGAAAAACAAAAGTTGGACACACAAAACTTTCTCAGGATTGATGACAGGGAAGGAGGGGGCGGCTAGCTTGCTTAGTACGCACTAGATTCTGAGATTAAGTCCTAGCACTGCCAATAAATAAATAAGAAAAGAAAGAGGGAGAGATAGAAGGAAGGGAAAGGGAAAAGTTGGAAAGAAAGGAAGGAAGAAAAGAAGAAAGCAAACCCTAGCAATCAAGCCCTGGCAGGTGGATGGAGAGATGACCTAATTAGGTCTTTGGTAGCTCAATGTCTGCCATCCCTTCCCTAAGGCTTGGTTGGTTTCCAACCTACCTGCCTACTCAGGGACTGCAGATATCACAAGGTCAGGAAACAAAAGGAAGTGTCAAAATCTAATGCAAAAATGTAAAAACGAGTTGCCAAATTGAACAGATACCATTTAAGTGTACTTTTCCACAACTGCCCAAGATCTGACATGACTAGAGAGGAAGAAACTGATGCTTAAGTTAAAAATGCTAAACTTATGATTCAGCAACAAAAGGAACTATGTCAGGGTTAATAAAAAATATAATTGGGCCTGTTAAGTATGTGAGCAACTTCAGTGGATCATCTTAATCATACCTGGTGAGATTAGGAGTTTTAATTTGTATTTGAAATGAAGAGTAATGTAAGATAGTTGCTTCTAAGTGTGGGAAAAAAAAAGGAACAACATGGCACCTCTCCAGCTGTTCTCTCAGTGTAGCTCCAGTGAACCGGATGGGTCCCTGGGAGTGAGAGAGAACAGGGTGCTCTACTTAAAGAGGTCAGAGTTTTACTTAGGTACTCTCTCTCACTATTCAGTCCCCTTCATGCATCTACACATTCTAACTTTACTAAAGAAACATGGCTCTAGGGAAAAATTTAAATAGCTGTTCTGCAGGGAAGGTACTTCCTGACTCTTTAATAGCTTATAAAGTAGACATTTAAGCAACTGACTCTTTACTCCAAGGTACCTCACAATTGCCTGCTTGGTAAGAGAATCCTGTCTTTGTGACAGCTGGTCTAAGTGAATAGGAGGTGAAGGATTTGAAATAAGCCCTGGAAACCACGACATTAATAAGTATATAACTTCTTAGCTGAAAATGTCAGGATCTGCTGGTTCCATGGCTTCATTTTCCTGTCTGCAAGAGCAGAGGCCATGGGGATTTGAGAAAGATGAGACTGGAATGGAGAAAACAAAGAGAAAAGTGCAGAGTTGCTTACTGGGCTTTGGTTTTGGAGTTGAAGATAAGACTCCACCACTTATTGGTATGCTAAATTACAACCTCTGGGTCTTTATTTCTTTGTATGAAAAAATATGGAGATAAAAATACTGATTTTCCTAAGGTTGTACTTAGGAGTAAATGAAGTAATGTAAATAATATCAGATATAGGGGTGGTACTTAAATCATGAGTGATATAGAAGAAAATAAAAGCATAATACTTTTTTTTGGGTACCAGGAATCAAACTTGGGACCTTGTGCTTGTGAGGCAGGCAGGATACCACTAGCTAAGTCCCCAGCCAGCCCTTAATACTTTCAAATACAAGAAGGCTGTCACCAAGCCATGACTGAGAGGCTGCCAACTCTCAGGCCCCCAGGAGCCCACACAGAAAGCCCAGTCCCCTTCCCTGGGCATCCTGACAGCTTCTGGCTCTCCCCACCTCTGTGTCACTTTGCTCCACTGACAACTTGAATTGCTGACCTTTCTTTAACCATGCCCCAGTCTTGGACATTGTCATGTCTTGTTTTTGCTTCAGCTTCAACCTCTCACTGCATCTCCACATGTCCAAATCTTGTGCATCCATCCTTCTTACTCACAACAACTCTATGAAAACTACAACTCTGAATTTTTAAATTTTTTATAGTAATATAATTCAGCTACTGTGAGTATATTTACAAGGTTATGTAATGATAATTATTATCTAATTCCAAAATGTTTGTCTCCTCAAAAAGAAACCTCACATGACAACTGGGGATGTAGCTCAGTGGTACAGAGCCTGCCTGGAAACTGTGAGGTCCTGAGTTCAATCCTGATACCAAAAAAACCAGAAACAAAAAAACTTCATATCCATTAGTGCACACTATTCCCATTCCTCATCCTCTAGCAACCACTACTCTACATTTTTTTCCCTGAGTGACAGTCTTCCTATGTAGCCTAGGCTGACCTTGAGCTCTTGATCTTCCTGCCTCAGTCTCCTGAGTATCGGAATTACAGGTATGTGCCACCACATGTAGCTCTACATTTATTTTGTTTTATTTTTGTTTTGTTTTTTTGAGACAGAGTCTCACTATGTACTTGAGACTGACCCGGAACTCACTATATAGCCCAGGCTGGTCTCGAACTCACAGCAATCCTCCTGCCTCAGCCTCCCGAGTGCTGGGATTACAGGCATGCACCACCATGCCCAGCTTCTACTTTTGATATCTATAGATTTGCCTCTTCTGGACATTTCATGTACATAGAAAGCATACAACATGAAGTCTTTTGTGCCTGGTTCACTTACCACATTTTCAAGTTTCCTCCATATTGTAATATGAATCAGTAGTACCATCCTTTTCATCACTGAATAATATTCCATTAAATAAATGTATGAGATTTGACTTAGACATTCATCCAGGCGATATTTCGATTTTTCCTATTTTTGAGCTATTATGAATAATAATGACATATAATCTTTTGTGTGGACGTATGCTCTCATTTTTCCTGAGGTAGAATATGACAGGAATTAGTCATATGATAACTACATTTACCCTTTTGACAACTGTTGGTCTGTTTTCCAAAGCAAATGCACCAATTTTATATTTTATTTTTTCTTTTTTTGTTTTTTGAGACAGGGTTTTACAATATAGTTATGGCAGGCCTTGAACTCATTGGTGATCCTTCTACCTCAGCTTCCCAAGTTCTGAAGTTACAGGTGTGTGCCACTATACCCAGCTCTAATTTTACCAGTAATGTATGAAGGTTCTGATTTTTTCCACAGTCTTATAATTTGTATTAGTATTTTAAAATAAGTTTTCAAAATTATCATTGATTAGCACCAGAATTATAACAAATCTCAAGTTTTAAACAGAAAGCTACTTGTTTCCCTACCCCAGGATCTCAGTGTTATGGTTTTTATGTATTTCCCAAAGTTGGAAACTTAATCATCAGTGCATCTTTGCTAGGAGGTGTGAGGCTACTAAGAGGTGATTTGCTTATGAGGATTCTGCCCTTACAAATGTATGATGCTTTTATCATGGGAGTGTGGTGGCTTCCTAAAAAGAATATGTTCAGCCTTCCCTTCTACCATCTCTTTTGTCTTTGTCTCTCTCCTCTCCCCAAATCTCCCACCTTCTGCCTTGGTTTAATGCAATGAAAAGGCTTTGGCCAGATGTGGGCCTGTCGGCCTTGAACTTTCAATTTCCAGAACTGAAAAAGAAGTCTCATTCCTTTATAAATTTCCCAGGCTCATCTATTCTGATACAGCAGCATAAAACAGACTAACATCCTTACTAAACTGCATAAATGTCAGAATTGATTACAGAAGCTTTTCCAGATCTTCCTAAAACAATGCTGATTCCTTCAGCGCTGAAACACTGATTGTCATCAGCAGGAAAAAGGGCAGGCAGTGAAAGATGAGTTTCGAAGATATACACATAGATTGCTTAAAAATTTATACTATACACATTGCCAAATGAGAAAAATGAAACAAAAATCAAGTAGGCATGAGATCAGCATATTATTAAGCTATGTAAAGGGCTGATTTGTAGTGAAACCATTTCCCATAGGTAGGTGTGGTTCCCCTATACTAAAAACCACAAGGAAACAGCACTTCTGCTTGGGAATAGAACAACGTAGACAATGTCTTTCCTTCTGGCAAGAACATACTCTTCAGAGCCACAGAGCCTTAGATTCAAATCCTGATGCTGTCACTTTGAATCTTAATGTCACTTTGGATGTTACCAGACGCTTCAGCTCTTTGAGCCTAAGTTCCCTCATCTACAAAACTGGGATAATCACTCCTCACTGCAGGGTTGCTATGACAGGCACACAACAGACACTCAAGAAGCAGTAACTTCTACATTACTTATTGCCACTTTTCTTATATGGCAATTATATAGGGCAATCTTACAAAACGAAAAAACTATGAAGCAGCCAGTTGATCTGCTTACAGATAAAACATACTAAACTGCTAAATATTCTGATAAAAACATGAATGTATCAATCTTTGATAAAGGAAATCACTACACAGATATTCCAAAACTGAAGGCAGTATAAAATGCAAGTGTTCTGGGCTTTGCAATGCAGACTCTGACTTGGGAGAGGGCAAGGAAGCATCACAACTGGACTGTAGGGAGACAAGTGCAAGAGATTGGAAATCTTTGCAAGACGGGTTTATCCCAGCTTTTGTGACTACTGGCAAGTTGATTCTTCATTTAAAAAATATTACAGTACCTATTCTTACTACATTCCAGCACTGCTGACAGAATCACAGCATTCTAGTGGTGGCCCATGCCTATAATCTCAGCACTCTGCAGTGCTAAGGCAGGAGTGAGACCCTGTATAAAAATAAGAATAAAAAAGGACTGAGGACACAGCTCAGTGTGAAGGCTCTGCATTCAAACCTCCCCTTCAATAAATAAACTTTTTTTTTTCCTGGTACTGGGGACTGAACTTATGACCTTGCTCTTACAAGGCAGGCTTGGTACCACTGAGCTAAATTGCTAGCCCCACAAATAAATTGTATAATGCTTCAACATCTACAAAACTTTGATTTTTCTTTTTTTTTTGGTGGTACTAAGTCACTAAATTGTCCAGGCTGGATTCAAACTTGCAATCTGCCTGCCTTAGC